CAGATCGAAGATTCAGGCTGCTTTGGTGACATTTTAAAAGTCTTTTTTGCCAAGAAAAACAGTAATTTCTTTTCAATTTCTTTACATGGTATTTAAGCATTGAAAAGGAAAGACAAATTAAAATTATTGAGCTATTTTTCCCTCACCCATGATTATGCAGCAATTTATCAACAAAATGGAACAAGAACATCTGACTGGGATTATTTATTACACAGTAAGGCATTTATTTTTTGTTCGCTTCACCAGGAACAGTGTCCCTTTTCTGGCCAGTTAGCCATCTGTGTCCTAAGAGCTTTCAGGGAAAGATTAAACTGTCATTTGTTTTATTTCCTTTCATGAAAGAACCGTCTTAACAGGGCTGAGGCAAAACTTGGATATTGCTGGACTTGCTACCTTAAGGTGGCATGAAGAAGAGTAACCGGAGCTTCCCTGGAGCTAAAGCAAAGCAATGGCAAGTCTGGGGGTTTGGGTTTGTTCTTCTCGCTCCGCACACTCAGCAACACGCAGCACCGCTGCCGAAGCGCTCCCCCGGGAAACGGCACAGACCAGGCGATCGCTACGCCATCCTCAGGCAGAGGTGCGAGTATCTGCGGATTTTGGTTTTGGTTTTTTAAATCCGATTCATTCGCTAAATTTAGCCAACATGGCTTGGGCCTGAGCACCGAGTGGGCCTGCAGCTGCTGTGGGCGGGAAGCAGGAGGCTGACGAGACCACTGAAGGCAGCGCTATGCCATGCGCCCCAGCGTGGGGTGCCCCAGCCCCACACACCAGGGCTGGCACCACTCTCACCTGGACGGCTGCGGCCGGTGGCATCCCCTCCCCACCTACAATGCCACAAGCGGGCCTGAGAACTTCTAGCGTTTCTTCCCTGGAAAGAATGAGCAAAATAAGCCACCCGATTCAGAGAAAGATAATCTGTGCCCTCAGTAAGAGCAAACATGTGGGAAAGCTATTTGCTAGAAGAATGTACCTTGCGGCTGTTGCCAAAGGCTTTGATGGGTGTATCTGTGCTTGGATAGCTTTACGGCTGCACAGTGGAAATTGCTCATAACGAATGATAACATCTACATTTCTCTAACACCTTCCGTCCAGAAATCAAAAGCGCTTTTCAAAGAAAGGGCCAGATTTTGAACGCTTGACGCCAGCAGCTCCTCATGTCACACCTTTACGGACCAGTTCTTTTGAAACACCTCGGTAGCCAAAGCTCTCTGGCACTCGCTATGCCTGAAGTGACAACCGAGCTCTCCTAAAAAATGTGGCCCACACAGCTGGCGTGCAACTGCCTCCGGGCTGGGAGAGTCACACCCCGGTGCAGCTGGCACCAGCGCTGCACCTCGGAGCGGATGGCAGCTTGGCCGAGGAGGGCGAGCCCTGCTCTTACAACAAGTGCCAAACATTTATAAGGACCAGAGAATGGCTTTTCTCAAGGCCTTGGCTTTAAGGACCATACATACTATTGCAGTGAATTCCATCCATCACCTTTGATAGAGAGCGAGACCTGATCTGCCTTGAGTGGGTGGGAGTTAGAGAACCAGGCATCGCATATGAGCCACCAGCTGCAGCTCTGGAGACTGCTCCGGCAGGAGCCGTTCCCACGCAGAAAATGGCAGTATTGCAAGAGAAGCAAAATCCTGACAGCTACAGGGCATTCAACGTTTCTAACAGTTAAAAGAAACCTGTAAATAATATCCATTCTCCCCTAAAATTTCCTACATTGACTGGTTCACAGCAAGAACCAGTTCAGCTCTTCTGTCCACCGTTGCTCACGTGCTGTTTACTGCAGTCCCAAGGCAGGACTTCACTGCAGTCCCAGTGCCTTGCCTGGGCTGGCCTGCCGGACATCCCCAGTGCCTTGCCAGGCACCATGACGGGGAAAAGCACCCGCGGCAACTCATGGGATGCACAGAGGCAGCAGCGGGGACGGGCAGAGCTCTGCAGGAACGGCAGCCCTTGGCTCTGCCCTGCGCTGCCTGCTGAGGGTGGGATGGGGACAGGCTCTGGCAGGGTGGCTGTGCCCTCCCGCACTGCATCCATGCACCAGCCGCTTCTTGCTGGGAGGGCAAGTGAGGGGCTCGCTCGGACCACCGCTGCTTTGGCGGGACCACAGGCAGAGACAGGCCGACTCCGCACTTCCGTCCCTGGGAATACACGGAAAGCCCGTCCAGCTGCTGCAAGCCTAACCCCGCACACACAGCCCCCTCCAAACCAGCTCTTCTGACGTGGGTTTCACCAGTGACGCCGGCGCAACAGCACAGTGCCTCCTGCCCAAACTGCCTGGAGCTGCTCTGCTGTCTGGTTCCTGTTACGTCGCCATCATACTTGAAATAACCCGGTCACGAGCTGTGGGGCTGCATCTCCGCAGAGCTCCCATACCTACAGGAGCACCTAATCCTCCCCATCCCATAGCTACAGGAGCACCTAATTCTCCCGATCAGTTCCCGGGCAAACAAAAGCAGAGGAAGAGCGAGGCCACCAACGGGAGACAGTATTGTCTTAGCAGGAATACAATTATAACATAGGTAGACTGCCTCTATTTACCTCCCCAAATTAAAATAATCTTTTTCTTCTGCTTTTACCTAAGCGTGAAACCAGAATGTGACCCACTCTGCTTCCGCCTGCATTTACTGGCCAGGAAGCGGCTGCCTGCGGGACAGGGCAGAGGTTGCAGAGAGCGGGGAGGCACGTCTCTGCGGGAGGCCTGCGGGCTCAGGGCTACGGGACGACTCCACAGACCGCCATCACACGCAGCTGCCCCTATAGCTCTGCTGGCGCGCTCTCCCCGGCCTGCAAAGCTTGCCTGGTAGTGCTCACAGGACAGAACGCAAGAGCAACACAAATTTAAAAAAAAATTTTTTTTTTAACCCTCCCCACCTCCCTCCACCCCAGTTATTCGCTCCCCTACCGTCTCGCTACCATGCTGTCAGCAGGGAATCCACAGATAAAATAAAGCTGCACTAAGATCTGGAGTTACGGTGCAGAGTGAAATTCTCAGTTACACAGGACAAGAAGCTGGCTATCTGCTCTGGACTGAAAGCACCTCTTTATAGAGAGGACTGGCGTTTCCAAGTGGTTAGAAGCAAGACCTGGGCATGTGAAGTAGTGAAAATAATTTCCTTTTTAATTGCTACTTTGCGGCCTTTTCCTCCAACTTTGAGAAAGGCTGTGAGCTTTCTCTGTCCGCAGAACTCTAAAATAGGCAAAGGTGGTTTATTTTATTAGGGAAACAAAACAATTCCTAGTACTCTTGCTATGGCATATGCTCAGGGGAAGCCAAGAGAAGATGAAATCACTTTCTGAGAAGCAGCTGGCTTAATATGGGCAGGGACAATGTCGGAATTTGATTTCTTTTGCTGACTTACGCAGCAGTGAGTCCCTTGGACTGCTTCTCTCCCACCCCCTGTGCTCCTGGCCGCTGTTCAGACACACCTGCAGGAGCTCTGGGCTTTTAAATCCGTGCCTTAAATGCCCCCACAGTTCCCTAACCTGCAGAAAGTTTATTCCTATCAGGTCCTTAATCTCAGTTTTCTTGGGAAAATCACTGCAAGTATCTCCCCTCAGAAACCTACGACAGAAAATGTCTAAGAACTAAAGTGGATTCCCCCCCACCCCTTGAAAACTGCATGTTCTCCAAGAGATTGAGATCTTGAGATCCAAAATTCTCGTGTTTAAGCTGAAATTACAAACTAATAACAGCAATCATCATTAAGTCTGGATAACAGGCTTTGATGGGGAAAGTACATTCCAATACAATTCAAAATAAAAATCAAAGGTCGAGCCCCTCCGTCTCACACTCCACCTTTTCTCCCTTTCCCTGTGCTTCTGCAGAAACACAGGAAGGGAAGAGCTGAATAAAGCAAGGGAGAAAACATAAGTTTCTCTCCCAAATGCAAGCAAAACAGCAGCACACTTCAATTCTAACAAGAAACTTATTTTCTGCACAACATACAATTTGCTCTTTTCAGCAGGCTCCAGCTGTGGTAGGCTGAGAGTAAAGGTGTAACACAAGCAGGCAAATATGGCTTGCATTTTAGGAATTTCCATTATTTTTATGGATTGCATTGATGAGAAATGCATCTGCGCACTCTGAACTGCCAGTAACATTTTTGTTGTGGGATATGCTTTGAATAATTCCTTTGCAAAAAGCATGGCCGTATATTCATTAGAAATGGAAAGTCATTCTGGAAGACCCAAGCGTCTAAACGAATGGTATTTCAATAAATAAAGGTGGTATAAATTCAATATACTGATTCTCCAATTCATCATCCTCTATGCTAAAATATATCATTCCTCTCTAATTTCAATTCCCAGCCATGCTGTCCTCTTAATCTTAATTATAAATGGTCTGCCACTTATCAAATCATTCTCTGTGGACTGCACAATCCTCACTCTTAATTGCACAAATATTTTATTTTTGGAACAACACAGCTCAGCAACAAGCTTCATTTTTCTTTTCATGACTCAGTCTCTATTAAAGTAAAGCATTTATAAAAGCTCTGGGAGCATGGAGAGAAAATTAGTTGCTCCTCCGTGGCTAACAGTTCTTAGCTAATCACAATGCAGCCCCACATCACCCCGAGCAGAGCAGCGACTAAAACTGCGCCTGCAACAAAGCAACATTGTCCACAGCGATGACGTGCTCCAGTCAAAAACGTCTCCCCTCTTGTTATGATTGGTATTCCCCAGATGTTTGACTTCGAGCTCTCGCTTGGCAGGCGAGGCCTCGTGGCTGCGATTCAAGTCCCAGGCTTGAGCAGCTCCAGTGTTTATTCTCATAATTTACACTTTGTGGTGGCTTATGGACAGTTATGTGCTCGGTTTCGGAGCCACCACTTCAAACCAAGGGCCTGATCCTGCCCTTACGGAGTGAGTGGTAAATGCTTCCCAATTCCAGCGCTGGCAGGAGGCCTCAGATGACTCAACCATCTCCCAGAGCAAACAAGCCAATATAAAAGAACAATTTGGTTTAAAAACAATTAAAACATGCCTGAAATCTTACTTACTAGGAAGTCTTCTTCACAGTACACCTTGCCATTGACGTTGTAGAACGCTTTTCCTCGTAGTCTTCTCCCTGTCAAAACACGGCACCGTCAGCACCCCGCGCTCGGTCCCCAGCCCCGCTGTTCGGCCGCGCAGCACCGCGCCGCTCCCCACTCCCCGCAGAGCCCGGCCCGCGGCACGCCACCTGC